ACGACTACTACATTTAATAGACAGAAAGCAAGTCTTGATATATCTACTCCAAATCAATATCTTCGAAGTATAACAAGGAAGAAACTGGACCCATCAGTCAGTAATATTATCACTCTTTTCTCACAGCCAGAGCTGCATCCATCAGATGCACTATGGAAAACAAGGAGAACAAAGCTAATCAAATACTACCACCTTTCTTCCTCTCCGTTATTGCCTCTCCTAAGATTGACCACATTTGTGGTTAAACGCAGGGAGTCAAACTTCCTATAAGCCGTGTCGTTACGGTTCCAGATTTCCACTGTGGTTCAGCCATATCACAGCCCTGGAAAGGCAAACTGGCATGTGCTCAAACCGCTGCCTTCGCTAGTTAAGGTGAAAAAATTACATATCGTGACTGTAAAAGGTTCTTATCGGAATCATCTCACTGGTCTACCCTCTTAAAGATCTTCATACTGAACTTAAAAAAAACCCAAACCAATCACTCTTAAAGATCTTCATACTGAACTTAAAAACCCAAACCAATCCTCAACAACCCAAAATACTCCACACACCAAAAAAAACCCATACTTCATGAAAACTCGTAGTCTGGATAAAAATGCTTAGTGAAGGGACTGACACTATTTCACCATGCCAGGGGAGACACAAGCAGCTAGTTAGACCAGAGAAAAAGAAGCTCAACTCCTGAGGACTCTCAGCACACTCCTCATTCCTCTGCTCCCGAGGATTCCTGCTCAAGTCCCAAGGTTGTGTTTATATATATATATCTATCTATCTATGTGTGTCCCATCTTTTTGTCCAAGCAATCAAAAGCCTTCATCAGTTCTTTCACAATTGGAAGGTCACATCACTGTGACTGATAGTCCAATCTCAGCCACAGCCAAGATGCCACTGGCTTATCTGGTGGCAGGGCCAGCAGCTTGTCCCCTCAGAAAGCAATCTCCACAAACTCACGTGTACTCCCAGCATCTGCTGGTAAGTGTAGCTGCTCACACTAAGAAAAGCTCTTAAGTTTGCCTTTATACAAGGATCGGGTCATTGCAAAATGGACAGAGTGAAGCATGATGGCTTTTGGACTCTTCCTCTGAAAAGAAAAACCAGATCGGAATATCACAACCATGTCTTGGTAGTCAAAGTAGACCTAAGAAATTCAGAGTTTCAACTCCACCTCTGAAAGCAATGGGAAGCTCAGTGAAAGCTGAAGTTTCTCCACACTATGCAGTTACACACAAGAACAAGGAACTAGTCATGGCCCTCATCAATATTACTATCAAAACAATTCCAGTCTCACACGTGTGGGGTGCAGATGCACAAGCAGGTAGACCTGTAGTGCCAGGTGCATGAGAATGTCCCCTATGTAAGTGTGGCACTGTGTCAGTCCTGACCTGCACACCCACCACAGTTCAGACTAATCCCCCCTACTAAGTGACACTCCATGTATTTCCTCAGAGAAGAGTGGGCCTTGTACCTTCCCACACTCTTAATTCAAGACACTCTAAATTCAAGGTTCTAAGCTGGGAAGGTCACTGCACCTGCTCCGTGGTGGGGCTCATGCCCATGCAGTCATGGAGGGGCACTCAAACACCAGGCAGAGCAAAAAAGAGAGCAAAAAGAATCATCTCTGGCATTCAGAGAGAGGCAAAGTACTCGCAGGTGGCGTTCAGCAGCATTTTGCAGCAAAAGGAAGGATACATTTTTGTACAATTTGTGCAACATTAACCAAAGGGTCTGCAGCTGAATCTAGACAAAGTATCTGACACCAGCTTTTCCTCCTGAAAAGCAAACCTTCCAGGACCACTACAGCTGCTAGTGGGCAGGCTGTCCCTAATCTTCCAGGCATGCCAGGCTTGCACAACCAGTGAAAGAGCTGTGGCTGCCCTAGTGAGCAAGCACGATTGCTGAGATGTTTCTGTCATCCCTCTTGTTCATAGAATCATCATCATAGAACTACAGAATACCAGGTTGGAAAGGATCTCAAACATCATCTGATGCTTGGTTGTGTGAAAGCACTGTCTAGAAAAGATGGCCCAGCACCCCATGCAGCTGAATCTTTAACATATCTAATGTTGGGGAATCCATCGCTTCCCTGGGGAGATTATTGCAATGGCTGACTGTTCCCTTTGGGACAAATTTTCCTCTTGGGTCAACTGGAATCTCTCCAGGAGCAAGTTATACCCATTACCCCTTGTCTTTTCCACATGACTCCTTGTAAAAAGAGAGTCTCCATCTTCTTTGTGGCCACCCTTTAGATACCAGAACATAGTGATAAGTTCTCCCCTAAGCCTTATTTTCTCAATGCTGAACAAACCCAGTTTTCTCAGCCTTTCCTCCCACAGCAGGCTTCTCAGTCCTTTGATCATCTTTGTGGCCCTTCTCTGGACCCTCTCTAGCCTGTCCACATCTTTTTCATATAGTGGGGACCAAAACTGAACACACTGTTCCAGGTGTGGCCTGACAAGTGCTGAGTAGAGCGGGAAGTTCGAGAAGTTTACAACTGTCTCAGATCTGTTGGTTTTCTCCATTTCAACAAGGCATCGCCATCAAACAAGTCAACAGGCAAGCTCAAGTACCTGATATTTTTAGCTAGCTATGCTATAGCATCTCACAGATGCTTAAGAGTTTTCTCCCTGCAAGGTCTTAAGGAGATTCCTCCCTTCTCAACTGCCAGTCGAGCAGAGCTTGGGAGCTGCTCTTCACATGCTGAGGCAACCGAGCTCTTCAAACAGCTGGGAAAGCCACATTTCTCCACTTCAAATGAAGTACAACAAACCAATCTAATGCCTGTCTGGTACAACTGGTGTCGCTTCTGCCCCTTGGAGGAAGGAGAGAAACGTGTTCAAAAGTGGTCCTGAGGCTATTAAAAGAGCAAGATGTAGTCAAGAAAACAAAAGCTAGACAAATCTGAAGGGAAAAATAAAAAGGCTGAAATTCTGATCCTTTTTTACTGAACACAGAATGATCTGATAAGTCCCCATTCATTTTGAGGCAGAAATACCCAGTTTGGACCTTAAAGAGAGAGTCTATCTTAGTCTCTGCATTGCAGATGAGAACAATCACATTTTTGCTTGCTCTGACTTATTGCTAAATTGATTATTCTCCAGGACTAGAAAAGAGGGAGAAAGGAGGGAGATGGTAATTGCCCTTATAAAAGTCTTTAAGGTGAAAGAAGTGAATGCATCTTACTTTTCCTAGCAACCCTCTTTCCTAATTCTGAAGCAAATAAATCACACTAAGGACAGTATCCTGAACATATGGCTTTCTCCGAATGAGGGGAATTTGCCTGCCTACAAGCTTGTTTTTCTTTTCTCTTTTTTCTTCTATTTAATTAAATATGTCAGTCTCTGGAATCCCCTTCACAGCAAAGTGGTTTCTGCCTGCCCTCCCCCCCAAGAAAAAAAACCCACAAGAAAAGCTTTACAAGTATTAACTTATTTCTGTCCACAGAAGGCTGTACCTACGCTTAACATCTAGCCAACAGCACACAACCTGTTCACTACTGTTGCATTCACTTCCCACATATTCAGCAAAAGCACATTACTAAGATGAGAAAAGGAAGGACTTCAGCGCCCCAAGGCCAACAGCAACATGAAGAGCATCTTTAGAACACGAGTCACAAGCAAACAATGCTGGAGGCCCCAAAATGACCTTGCGCATTTCTTTACCACTTTTCTTTACACCTAACAAAGCACATGGCTCCAAGTACAATCACCCATGGGACATGTTTTCATTTTGCCATTTCCATCTTCCTGCACAAGACACCCTGCGTTGCATAGGCTGGACTTCAAATGCTCCCTGGTCTTTCTGTAGAAGCACTGAAGCAAAGGACCACAGGAAGGGATGCTGCTAAACCTTAGATCTGGAAGAGCCTCATCCCCAAGAGCCTTGAAGGCCCCTGGATGCAAAGTGGTTGTCGTGAGGGCCCTGAGAAGGGGGAAACACCCCCTGAAGTTCCTCACTGCCCTGTCTGCAATCCAAGGCAGCAGCTGGTGGCAGCATGCAGAAGATGGTCACAGAGAAGTTTGCCAGCAGGAACAAAAGGGTAGCGAGGATGCCAAAAGGCAATGCTCTGCATTTTTCTTAAGTAACAAATAAAAATAAGCAACAAAAATGTGACTAGCAATTGAAATCAGAAAGGCAAAACTGAAGTGATTTTACATAAACCGAAGTCATATCAAAAGCCACCTGAATTTTTCTCTATCATACGCCATTTCCCATGTTCATTTATGTCATCTTCACGGTGTCAGTTTTCGAGAGAACAATTCTCAGCTCAGCACGACGGAACAGTAATACCGACGGGCACGCAGAACATTAGCATGTTATAAATAAATTGCTAATTTGAGGTGGGAAAAAAATCATCAAGGCAGCTCTTATGATTAAGAACCAGAGAAAGAAAATGAGCAACTTGCTTAAGCTTTTAGGATACTGTCTGTTACAAAAAGAGCTTTTTCTAAACCCCCAGATCCTAGGGGGGAGAAAAAAAAAAGAATAAACCCAGTGAAATACCCAGTGTGGAGACAAAGCAGCCAGTGAAAATGCTATTATAATTTTTAAAGCTCTCCCTGCCCCCAACTTGAGTAGTAAATTGTCTTTTTCTACCGGCTCAAGAGGTTTGTGCTTAAAAAGAGTACTACAGGGGAGTTGTGAAGTTTCGGCTTCCTCTCACCCGACTCGCAGTTTTACATAACTCCCAGGAGACTTTTTTAGGCTACAGATACTGCGCAGCTTTAAAGCTCTCCCTGCCCCCAACTTGAGTAGTAAATTGTCTTTTTCTACCGGCTCAAGAGGTTTGTGCTTAAAAAGAGTACTACAGGGGAGTTGTGAAGTTTCGGCTTCCTCTCACCCGACTCGCAGTTTTACATAACTCCCAGGAGACTTTTTTAGGCTACAGATACCGCGCAGCTGAAAGAAAAAAAAAAAGAAAAAAGAAAAAAGAACGAGGTGCAGAACTATTATACAGCAAATTTGGATCTGGGTTACTTGGAGCCGCTCGATAAAAGACTTACCATGAAAAATAAAACTTTATTCTGCTGAGGCGACGGCCAGGATTATTCGTGCTCGCGATAGCCCCGATCACCACCCTCCGTCTGCCCTGCACGGGGTTCCCTTCCCACCCCGTCCCCGGTCTGCAGGGACAGATAACGCCCCGCCGCGGCGCGGCTGCCACCCCGGGTATTATTTCTGTACCACCCCAGCATTGTCGCTCCTCACCAGCGTGCCACTTACTAAGCATTATTATAAAAATTTCTGCGAATATCTACGTTCGCCACGAGCGGGGATAATGGCCTCATTGCCATCGCCTTGATAAGGGCTCCAACAAGACAGCTTTCAGATATGGCCACACAAAAGCCTTCTGTGAGAGCTGTAACCAACATCAATTCCCACTATGCAAAGACATGAGACAAAGTGTGAACCAGCTTACTGTACGGGGACAAAAAACCGACTGTCAGTATGTGGGACCAACACTGTCTAAGAACACGACGTTGGCAAGGCAAAATAACATCAGCATATATACATGGTAATTGCCATTTAATTCCAGAGTGAGCAGCACAAGAAAACAAGCACTGAAGGCACTATTAGGTTACTAGCATCACTCAAGACATTATAATTCCATATAATTCCACGTCTAGCGTCTCCGGTTGGAAAATGAACTTAAAACCAGCAGATGTTAAAAAAGCCCAAGCTGAGGGTGAAGGAAAGCCCAGTTTCCATTACAGAAGCAGTCAGAGAATGCAACAAACCCCTCAGGCCTGCTCCTTAAAGCATGTATTTTCCAGTACACCACAGACAACCCAATACACAAGCACTGCCATTCCACATATGGTACAAGAACAGACCCTTCCTGCACATCACTTCATATTTTTACAAACTTATCTGCTCACATTGTGGTAGCACCCAAAGAGCTGAAAGCCTACTGTCAACGTAAATGGACCGTACCAATATAAATGCTGGGCTAAGAGGCTACTTTTTTACTTCCACACCTGCAATTTGCTCGATGACACCTCTTAAATGGGAATGTAGGTAGGAGGGATGCAAGAAAGTCTACAGGCCAGTTTGTTTCTGAACAACACGCAAGGCAAATTTGAAAGCGAAGTTCTATAGAGAGCATAGTACACTCGCTTTAAGAAGTGTTTCACTCTAAAATTACATCTGTACTTAAAAACGTGTAAAAATCCTGAAATCCTACAGTGTGGATTCAGTGGCCTGTAGTAAAAAATATAACTGTTACTGCATTCCAGTTTTAGCAAGATTTTTTAGCTAACGGGTAGAACTGAAATGAAGAGAAAGTCATATTTAGAGAGAACTAGTAGCATGGATCTATAAGCCTGACACAATGTATAAGAATTGGACTCTTGCACTGCATGGTGACAGCCACCCTTGAGTCCTAAACCAGAGACTTTTAATGTCACCTTCATTAAGAAGGAAGGAAGTTTGCCAATGAGTTTCTTCCTCCACCCCACTTTCTAGCAGTAAGTTATACAACACGCAACAACCTTTGAACCAACAGCTGCACAACAACCAAAAAACCCCAAACCAGAATAGCATTGTAAAGAGAGGAGAATGTCTTTCAAGAAGTTCAGTAATGAAAATTACTTCTAGAATCTATGCATACATTAACCAACACACACACACATACCACAACTTGGAGCAGGAATGCTGGAGCTGAAGCAGCCAAGGCTAAGCAGACACCTCTTGTTATCTAGTTTCCCAATAAAATTTATTTTTACCAAAAACTGTTGTTTACATGTGTTCTACAAGTTTTCACAGATCTTTGCAAAGCAACTAGCGGCTTGCAATGTCTACTTGGTGAGACTCTAAAATCCCACTGTAAAGACAGAACTGAAAGTCAAAATAATAGCACCCTCTGCTTTTAACAGTGGCTCGTTCATACAAAGCTTGAGATACCAAGGACCCAACGTCTGCAGTGCCGCAACTGAAGATCACAGGAAGCACCCAATATCTTCCTTAAAATCAGGTCCTACACCCTTGAAGTAGGGCACCCAAAAATGCCGTCAGCCTTAGGTAGTGGACAATTCCAGGCCTAGACGCAGCCACATACAAGTTGGATAAAATCTTGAAAGTAGATGCAGTTGATCAAATTAAGTCTCCAACTTAAATGAAGCAATGAAACGGGGTACTGGTTTTACGTCTAGAGGTAGGAATAAGGAAAAGCCATACTTGCCCACGTAACTCAGCACAGTGACAGAAGATATGTCAGCTGATCCTAAAAAGGTGATCTTCAAGGCTCCACCTTTCCTACCTAGCTTAGTCCTAGGCAAAAGACACAGGGCACAAAAGCCTGAAAGCCACAGGGCACACAGGTATGGTGGTGGCAGATTTCATGCATTAGTTTTCACACTGTGACAGGCCAGGCCAACAACCATTCACACTCATCAATAGGACAGGAGAGACACAACGCATGCCATGAACCTTCGGCAAATTCAGTTTGGAAACAACTACAGAATCACATGGGCTTGGAAGGGACCTCTGGAGATCATCTAGTCCAACCCCCCTGCCAAAGCAGGTCCACCCAGGGCAGGTTGCACAGGAACTTGTCCAGGTGGGTTTTCAATGTCTCCAGAGATGGAGACTCCACCAACTCTCTGGGCAGCCTCTTCCAGTGCTCTGCCACCCTCAACTAAAGAAGTTCCTCCTCATGTTTAGGTGGAACTTCTTATATTCAAGTTTGTGCCCATTTCCTCTTGTCCTGTCCCTAGGCACAACTGAAAGAAGACCGGCCCAGTCCTCTTGACACCCACCCTTCAAGTATTTATAAGCATTGATCAGATCCCCCCTCAGCCTTCTCTAGACTAAAAAGACCCAAGTCCCTCAGCCTTTCCTCGTAAGGAAGATGCTCCAGGCCCCTAATCATCTTTGTAGCCCTCTGCTGTACCCTCTCCAGCAGTTGCCTGTCCTTCTTGAACTGGGGAGCCCAGAAGTGGACAGATTCGTCACATATTCCTATATGTACAGAAGGAAGGCTGAAATGCATGAAGTAGAAGGCTCCTACCACATAGCAGAGGCCATTTTCAGTATGTGCTGGTTTCATCAGTATCTAGTCCAACTCCTGTGTCCTCCCTTTACAGGGCTCTCAGATGGAAATATTTACCACAGCTCACACTGAGCCCACAAGGCATTAGGAACTCCACGAATGCCATGAGATCCAGCAAATAGCAGCCCCATCCAAGCAGACAGCATAATACCTCAGGAGACACCCATGCCAGGCATAGCACTTCCAAGTGTGGTTTTGGACCAACTTACTTGAGGAAAACAGAAGTGAAATAGTTCCCTTTTAAAGATGTGATAAATTGGGCAATTTTGCCAAGTCTGCCTTCAAACAGGCGACAGAACTGAAATTGAAACCAAGTCCAAGTGCTTCAGCAGCACCTCAAGCACTGCAACAGTCCCATCCCAGGGGGCACTGGCACCCTCCCTCCACGGCCCTGGGCACACAGAAGGGGTTTCTTCCCAGAAAGAGCCAACACAATCCTGCTGTCAAAAAAAACCCCCCAAAAACGCAGGAAGTGATTAACTCTGCCAGGCAAAACAAAAGCCTGAAGTCCAACTTAGTCATTTGTAAGGAGGAGAGCTGCCATCATATATGCACACGCTCGGTGCTGCCAGCTGTAAATGAGATTATTTGCAGAGACTGTACAACCCGGAGGTTTAGTTACATTAAGAAGAGCTTTCCATCTGCTGAAGGCTCACTCTGGGCACGGCTCGATCTATGTTACCACCACCAGTGCAAGAAGTCCGTCTGAACTGAAGTCATGATCTCCAACCCATCCTCAGCGGGCAGCTCCTCCACAAGCCAGAATTTAAGCCCACGACACCCTTCCAGCCCTTCACACCAGCACCAGCCTGGCACACACCTTTGGAAGTGAAGCCTGAAGGTTTGAAAGGTGTCACACTTAACTAAGAAAAGCTCACATCTTCATTTCTCATCCAACTTCCCTCTTGATGCTCTGGACTGGAGCTCCAAAGAGGAATGGTGGAACTTCATTTTCCTTTTTGCAATCTACTCTTTGTAAAGGGCCATTCCCACAGTAGTCAGACCTGCTTGGCCTCGCTGCTCCACAACCTCCTGTTTCCCACCCAGGGCCAGGTTAAGACCTTGTGAAACAAGCTGGCTCTGAAAGGGTCTCTAGCTCCTGCTCAGCCTGCAAAGTGGGTCCACCATGTCTTCAAAACGTCTTCTGAAGCCACCAATTCCCAAAAGCCTGGCAAGTAAAAACTCTCAGCTCATAGCCACGTTTGTTTTCTAGAATCATGTGGTTCTTTTTTATAAAAGGATGCTTCTATTTTAACATTAATGGCTTTCATTTCAGGAGAAATTAAATGGTCTATTGCTCTTCAGCTTGGAGAAGACAAGTGAGGACAGAAGATAATGTATCATAAACTGTGTTGAGAAACATATATGAGGAAATCGTTTTCCCCTACTGCAATATCTAGGGTCACCCAATGACGCCACAGACAGCAAGTTCAAAAAGAAAAAAGGCAGAAACGAAATAATTTCTTCTTCCATACACGGTAACTAAACTGTAGACAGAACTGGTTGCTACGTAAGGTCAGAACCACAACTGGATTCAAACAGGGATTAGACAAAAACCACAGGCCATTGGTATCTACAAAAGGCATTGTAACCCCTGAGCAAGGAAGTGCTCTCTCAAAGCAAGTAGAAGGGCTGTCCTGTGCAAGCCCTCTTTCTTCTGTTCCTTCCTCAAACGTTTGCCACAGTCACAGTCAGAGAAGCAGCAGGAGAACATTTCATCTTGCAAAATACCACGGTTCCTAAGTTTAACTTTTTTTTTTAAATGCTCACACACACTCACAAATAAGCACACTGTAAAAATTAACAGAGCAGCACCAACATACCTGGGATGAGGGGAAAGAAAACACCTTTAATTGCTTAATCAGTTGAAGCAGCCTCTGCGGAAGAATAAACTGGCCCTAAAGCGACCCATATCCAGCCTTTGGCACGCAGAGGCTGGTGGCAGAGGGCAGGTACCTTCACAGTGAGAACAGATAGGCTCACCAAGCCTCAGTTTTCACAAGTTGATCTATCTAACACCTCTACACTACTGCATGGGGAAGCTCCCGTCTCCT